CTGATGAATGTGAACAGGCCTTCCAGCAGCTCAAGCGGACCTTGACAGAGGCCCCAGCCCTGGGACTCCCTGACGTTACCAAGCCTTTCATCTTGTTCATAGATAAACTCAGGGACATTGCCAAAGGAGTCCTAACTCAGGACATTGGCCCTTGAAAGAGGCCTATAGCCTACCTCTCCAAAAGACTTGATCCAGTAACAAGAGTATGGCCCCCTGCCTTAAAATACTAGCTACTGTGATAATGTTACTTAAGAAAGCAAAAAAACATGCTTTGGGCAAGTGATTTCTGTGGTAACCTCTCACAGTTTAGAGACTCTTATCAAAACCCCTCCTGAAAAAAGGCTCTCAAATGCCAAAATTCTACTGTCAAGCCCTGCTTCTAGACCCAGAGTCAATGATATTCAAGACTTCTTCAGCTTTAAACCCAGCCACCCTTATGCCTGATGATGACCTGGAGAAACAAAGGACACCTCTCCATGAGTGTGCTGACATCCTCAAACTGCAGCGGAACCTACAGGCTGATCTTACTGACCAGCTTTTGGGAAATGCCAACATCTGTTCGATGAAAACAGCTTCATCTAAAATGGCAAACGAGTGGCCGGGGCAACAGTGACCACCAAAAAGGAGGTACTCTGGGTTAAACGGGTAGAGCCTGGCACTTCTGCCCAAAAGGCGGAGCTTGTTGCTTTGACTGAGAGGCTAAAACTAGCCACGGAAAAGAGGGTAAACATTTTTTTACTAAAGATACCCCTTTGCTACTGTACATATACGTGGAAGCCATCTAAAAATGCTCCACAGATTCTAGATTTGCTGGCAGCTGTCTGGCTGCCTCAATGGGTTGTTATTCCTTACAAGGCTCACCCAACCGGAGATGACACTGTCACCTTAGGAAACAGTTTGGCAGATCAAGCCACTTAAAAAATAACAACCACATCAGAGGGGTCAACCAAAAAAGTAACTGCTCTGATACTAGTCCTCTGACCTTGTCAGAACCAGTCTACACACACAAAAAAAAGACCTACAGTTGACATCTCAACTTGGAATAAAGTCTCCCACCCCAAGGGGCTAATACCAGTTACCTGATATACAAGTACGGTTACTGGAGACACTAGGGCAGGAGCTGTTATACCGGGCTCGCCAGACTACTCGTTTAAAAAAAACTAAACTTGTGGATTTGTCCAGAACTCAGTATTTTATTCCAAAACTCTACAAACTGACCACCTCTTCGAGCTCTAGATGCCCACAGTGCTTGTTAGTCAACTCAGCCAAGAGCTCTGCGCTAGAGACCACCTAACATCAAAAAATTGTTCCAGGAGAACATTGAAAAATAAACTTCATAGACATGGTAAAACTTAATTTACAGGGACACCGCTATCTCTTGGTATTAATAAACATTTTTACTGGCTGGGTAGAGGCTTTCCCTACTAAGTCTGAGTCAGCCATAGTGGTAGTTAAAAGGCTATCACATGAGATCATACCTTAATTTGGCCTCCCACTATCAATGGGGTCCGATAATGGCCTGGCTTTCATAGCCCAAGTCACCCAAAAGTTAGCCCAGGCATTTAAGATTAATTAAAACTCCACTGTGCCTATCAGCCACAAAGCTCAAGACAAGTAAAACGTATAAACCAAAGTCTCAAGGACATTTTAGCTAAGCTGTCTTCAAAAACTGGCGATAATTGGATGAGCCTTCTTCACTTTGCACTGTTAAGAGCTAGATATACCCCATATGTTTTTAAAATTTCCCCCTTTAAAGCCATGTTTGGGAGGCCCCCGCCATTGGTTCCAAGATTGTCAGAAGACAAATTAGCTAAAATTACTAATTGAGATCTTAAGTCCCTACAGACACTCCAACCTGTGTTGGCCTGGATCCACCAGCTGTTTAGACAAAAACACTTAGACCCGCCTTCAGAGACCAAGGCCCCAGGGACTCCAGTCTTGGTTCGATGTCACCACCATGACTCCCTCGAACCCCGCTGGAAAGGACCTTTCACTGTGGTGCTCAGTACCACCACTGCCATCAAGGTAGCAGAAAAAACTGCGTGGATTCACTACACTCATGTAAAGCCACTGGAAACAGCAGACAACGAGGGACATACTCAGTGGACTACACAACAGACTGGTAACCCTTAAAGTTAAAAATTGACTAAAACATAGTTAGATTATGCTGGTCATAAACTGTTTTAGCTTGCTTGTTTTGATTTTAATAACATTGATGCCGACCTTACATGGCGGCTTTGGTCCCCCTGTAAGCAAAAAAAGACAATTGTTAAAGATCTTTATATGGAAGCCCCCTTTAGAAAATGTAAAACAAAATTCTCCCCTATCTCCTTCCCTTAATAGGACCATTAGTGACCTTAATCCTAATCCTAGCCATTGCCCCTTGCCTCATTAACTGGATTACCCAATTCATAAGGGAACAAGTCTCTCAGGTCAAAGTAATGGTCATAGGTCAACAATATGAACCCCTAGCTACAACATACCTCTAAGATTAGAGGTCATCCACAAAAAAAGGGGGGAATGAAGAGACCAAGAAAGCTCGTTCCATCTGCTGCTTCCCCTCCCCTTCTCCCTTCAAATCCAACTAGGTTAAGTTTTAACTTCCTAAAGGCCATAAAACAAAGGCCTGAGGTAATAGCTCCTGACATCCTGGGTCTTCCCTATCCGGTAGCCCCGTCACAAATTGTGTTAATTGCATCAGATTGTATTAGATTGTACATTCTTTACAAAAATAGCTTCGTTTATATCATAGTAATACCTGTAACTGTAAATGTGTGTCTTCCTTTTACTCTGGGTAAAAGATTGATATGTTAATCAATGCTCTCTGTAAAGAATTGTAAAATCTTACCTAATCGATATGCTAACCATTGTTGCCCTCTACAAATAGAACGGTTGTGGTGCTAAAGTATGTGCAGCTCCACCCCCACAGGAACCAGTGTTCTTAAACAGTTAAGACAAACAGTCTTAACCTAAGACAGATCTCTCAGTCATGAGACAAACGCCCATTCCTAAGAAATGCCACCCCTTCTAGGGAGACACTCCCTTGCCCCACTAAAAAACCCAATCCCTTAAGGACAGCTCACCATCAGCTCTGCTCTAATCGCTATGATTGGCTTCTGTAACAATGCTTGCTTGCTTTGCGGTTTTAGGCCTTAAAAGGCACAGCCCTGCTCGAGTAAGGGGTTCTCCGTTTCCAACTGTTTGGAGGACCCCGTGTACACGGAATAATAAAAACCCCATTGTTTTTACATGAGAGCGAGGCCCTTGGAGTCTTCCTTGTGACACCGGTCTAACAATAGCATGTGCACATGAAACAAAAAATATTTTTGCAAGAATCAATATAAACAGAAGAATACTCATAAAACACAGAATAGTGCTTGTAGGGCAGCTATATAGGCTTATGCTGTGCAGACGGCAGAAAAGAAATTCATAATGAGAACCAGTGAGAGACTTTGTGGATGGCCCTGAAGATAACCCATTATCCTGTAACTCACTGTGACGCCTGCAGTACCTGCCCGCCTAGAAGCACACACTTAACTGAAACTTAGTCCTCTTTCAGACAGTTTCTGCTCCAGATGCACCTGATGTTTCGCAGTATTTCCTTGAAGACCTATGATACCCAGTCTGTTTAATTCAGTGAGGACAGATTTCTCAGCTAACTGAAAATAGCAACCATATAAAAGTTCCATATAAAATGTAAGCAAAACAGATTTAGAGTTTCTGAATAAAATAAAACATTTCCTATTATTCAAGCAAGGCAGGCTCTCTTTGGTGTTTTGTTTCTCTTTTCATTTTCTTTTCACATGGAGGAGGTCATGTGGGGTCACTTAGGATAAGAGGCATTGGGATATACGCAGGCTCTGAGCTTCAAGAACCGATCGCAAATGTTGCTGTCCAAGACACTCCGACCATCAAAGAATGGAAGGCTGTACATTCATCAGTAAACACTTACTAGTAGTTGGGGCATGAGACTGAAGGCAGGAAAAATGCACAATTTCATTTATCTGAAAACAGATACTATAAACCTGACCACGGTAGTATTGTAAGCATGCTGCAGACTAGTACTTTGCAGTCAAGGAACAGATGAGGAACTTTAAAAATTGGCAATTGGTTTGAGAAAGAAAATATTTTAGAAAAATTGTTTTGACTCAAATAAAGCATTGCAATCTGTCATTTCCTTCTTTTTATAATAAAGCCACGGCTGTGCTCCCTCAGAGTTAATCTGGGCTGTCTGTAGGTGCGGGCTCCTGGCATGGGGCAGAACATAGGCAATTGCGTGTCCTTGTCTGTGGGAGAAAGTCCTGCATTGGCGCTGTGACAAAATTGTTAGCATTTAATTTAAGCACTATATGATTACTGTTTTGTTTTTATAATACACTTGTGATGTATAAAATGACAAAATATTTTTGTCATTTTACATTTTAAAAATACTCTACATCTTAAAGTGTGGCCTTATTAAAAAATGGTCTCATAGATAACAAGTTCTGCTATTAGTAGAATTTTCTTTTTCTTTCTTTTTTTCTTTTTTGGTGGTTTTGAGACAGGTTCTAACTGTGTAGTTCAGGCTGGCCTTGGGTGCCCTGCGTTGCCCAGTATGGCCTTGAACTTGCAGCGATCCTCCTATCTCTGCCTCCAAATTCTGGGAGGCTGTATATTACCATACCAGCTGTAAGTAGGCTTTTTTACTATGTAATTATTGTGCTGGACTTGGAAGGACAGTGGCATAGGGTATCTTGTACCTGATTCTCTCATCTTTAAATGAGATGGTTGAGTTAGGAAACCACTCAGCCATTCATTTTTCAGATGGGCAGATCCTTATTCCCCGGCCTCCACCTGCTCATCTCACCAGATACTGATTTCGTAGCTCTGGGAGGTCCTGGGAATCTGTAAGATGCTTTCTGCATGAGTGGCCTGAACATCACAAACTTGGATCTAAGGGAAATGATCAAAATTCCTTTCAGTTTCTTTTTTATTACAGAAAGCATTTTTGTCTGACTTACCAAATTTTCACTTATCTTCTGTAGGTCCTTAAACTGGTGTGTGATCTTTTGTCCACTGTTGCTGCTGGTGAGGAGATCTGAGATTGTAAGGGTGCCCTGATAATATTCCATTTTCTCACCTGTGATGAAAACAAGAAGTAGGTCATGCAGGGATCTGGCCAATATCTCATGAGCTAAGACTAACTATCATGGGACCAATGTTAAGTCAACTCTATAGTGAACCTTTTTACAATTGAATTTAATAAAAATAATGAAAATAACAATATTTTGTGTTATTGATAATAATTGGCAGCTGTTGAGTGTGTACTACATGCCCTGCATTTCTGGGCACTTCGCTTGTATTCGCTGATGTGATCCTTGACTGGCTAAGGCTGGCGTCACTGCCTGTGCACAGATTACCAGCTTGCTCTCTGTTATACAAATGCAGGTGCCTGAGTAAAATTCTGAGCCATCATGAGGCAATGTGGGCCCGGAGCCCTCGCGGGGCTTGGTTGGAAGAAGTGGCCTTCTTGATTATGAATCCAGTGATACAATAGGGACCCAGGATGAGGATCTTCTAAACCGTGCATCTCTGGACCCTATAATGCTGTATTTGTCCCAATATTTTCTGTCATCAAATTTTATTCTCATGTAAAGGAAGCTGCTTCTTTTTGTTTTTATTTTTAAAATTTTTTGCAACCAAATGAACTGGTCTGAGTATCTTTTGACATTGGTGTAAACTATAGCTAGGAGTGTTATAGAGCCCAGGAATATGGTCTGAAATTGTGTTTATCTCCTAAAACTGGTATTGCTCACTTATGAAATCTGGGAAGGGTGACAACAGGTAAGATTCTGGGGAGCAGCCTGAGCTGGTCACTGCAATGCCCATATCCACGAGATTGGTATTGTGAGGATTTGTCAAAAAAAAAAAATGTTTTGTATGCAACACAAACACATGACTCATAAAAAGGGATTATTTGTGTAATTATAAATATATTAGGAAATAAAATATAACCCTGAATATTGTTTTGGAAAGAGTAAAGTATTTTTTTCTCTAATAGCAAGTGATGCTATTGTGTACTGACTGCTTATCCATCATTTTGAAATTCACTAGATGTGTTTTTTTTGTGTGTGTGTACTAGAAATGTTGCTAAGAGACCTAGAATTGGTCTTCAAGAATCAATTTTAATAACTAATTTTTTAGTTTTTAAATCTCAATATAGAGTAAATGATAAGAGTTGCTTACTATGAATTCTACTAGTGAATTTTGGACAATGATTATTTTCAACATTTGATGTAGATTCTTAAAAGAATACTAGATTTGGATCCTTATAGAGACAGGAAATTTTCTGCTTTGCTTAATGCAATATCCTGAGTACTCAGAAAAGTGTTTGTATGTGAAAGAAATTTTATGATGAAATGATGAAACATAGGATAACATATTCTAAATGGGGACAGTCATGAAAATAACAGTACATTTTCTTCTACATATATGAAAATAAACACTTATGGAAAAGTAAAATTGAACGGAGAGAAATTCCTAATTTTACCTACCAGGGTCTATGAAGCTAACCGGGAGGCCAATGGTCAGCCCCACCATGGTCAGTGATAGGATGAGGAGAAGGACAACCATCCATGGCTTCAGGGCTCTGCTCTGGGGCACAAATCCCACTGTCCTGCAAAGCACAAAGCCCTTCGGTTACTCTCACATTTAATAGCTACAGATTTTCTGGTTTTCCTTGGATAAATCCTTGTTCTAGCTTGCCTTTCACAGTTTTTCCATTTTGGTTGAGGGTACTTTGACATGAGGAGAGAAGTTAAAAACACCAGGATCTTGGAACGGTATTGCTGCCCCTGGTTCCTGTATCTACGACTATTTGGTGACTCATCCCTGGTGGTCAGGCTGGGTTTCCTTAGCAGTGAAGCCCAAAGTAACACACTTTTTTTGAAAAAGGATTATTCCTCCCTTCACCAATGCTTATTATAGAATGATTTCAAATATAATTTATTATTTATTTCGTTATAAAATTTTTTTGTTTATTTATTTTGGCCTTTTTGAGACAGGGTTTCACCGGCTGGCCTGGAACCCATGGCAATTATTTGCCTCAGTCTCTTGAGTGCTAGAATTTCAGTTGTGCACCACCATGCTTAGCTGTTTTAAATCTTTTCTTTTTTTTGTACCAGGGATTGAAGTCACGAATGTGTGCTTGCTAAGCGGGTGCATATGCTGCTGAGCTAAATCCCCAGCCCTAAATCTTTATTGTGAAAGGTTTCAGACACAAAAAGTGAGAATAGTATTAATTTCATATGTCCATAAACTCATTAAATTTTGTTATATTAGTTCTTTTTTTATTACCACATTATAATTTGAAAAGATATCAAGACTTTTCACCAAATCATTATTTTTTTTTTTGTCTTTTTCTTTTTTATTGGTACTGGGGATCAAACTCACGACTGCCTGCTTGTAAGGCAGGTGCTTATGCTGCTAAGCTAAATCTCCAGCCCCCCAAATCATTATTAATTAGAATGTTTCCAGCATAACCAGTATATTACTAGCACTCCTAAAAATTAGTAATTTTCCAACATCTTCTTGTTCTCAATCTATCTTCAAATTTGTTTATATTCCTCATTATTTTTACAGATGGTTTGTACCAAACTGATCAAATCAAAGGTCATGTCTTTTAGGACTCTTTTAATCTAAAAGAACACTAATTCTTTTAAAAATTTTGATAACATTTATTGTTGAAGAGACCAAATTAGTAGTCCTTTAGAATGCCTCTCCTTCTGGGCCTGACTGAAATCCTGTCACTTGAGATGCTGAGGCAGGAGAATTGCTGTGGTGCTGGTTAACTTGTTCTGCTCTCTCCCTTACTTCCTGCACGCTGGAATTTAGATGAAAGGCCTTGAATAGATTGGTTAAATTCATTCGTCAAATTAATTTTGTACCTCAAAAGTGGTACTTTGTACTTTATATTGCACCTATCAGGAAAAGAGGAAATTTTTAAAATTCTAGACAAAAAACACTGATTTTTTAAAAAACATCCTGTGATCAACAATTGTGCACATCACGTTGTATCAGGTATTGGTTTGCCTGAATGTTTTACAGCTAACTGGAACTTCTTAATGGGCTACATTGGTGTTTTTTTATCTTTTACCACTAAAACCTAATAAAGTTCTTGATACTGACTAAGACCTTTATGAATATGAAATAATAGGTTGCAAGAGAAGATACCTGATTTGTTAAGAGTCAAGTGGCTTGGGAGGGCTTAGGTCATCTTGACTTTGGCTTTTTTTTTTTTTTTTTTTTTTTGGTACCAGGGATCAAACTCACAACTTCGGGCTTGCCAGGGAGGCACTTATGCTGCTAAGCTAAATCTCCAGTCCTTAGCTCATCTAACTCTGCTGCTCCAGCTCTGCAACTTGCAAGTACAGTAAAGTTTTTTACACACTAATTTATCATTTAATTTTTATATATTAGTATCCAAAGTTATATTTTATTCATAGGATTTATTGCAATGCTTTGTGCTAAATGAACTTTTAATACATAGTAGTTAATTTACAGGAAAGTTTTCTTTTGAATATAAAACTCTTTCTCTCTTGGGCATAAGTAATAAATTTATCTAGTAAACCCAATGGAGCTTGAGAGGACTGAATTCGGCTGAGTATGGAAAACATTAACCACATGAGCCCAAACTGATGAAAAAAGTCATCTGGAGAAATGGAGAACTTGGGCTAGCACCCTATGATGACAAGATCTAATACACTCAAATGTAGCAGCAAGCAGAAGTCCCTCAGTGTGATGTTACTTAACCTCTTCAGTGGCCTGACATTGAAATTCAGAAATGAAGTGAATCTTAGAGACTGTTCAGCATGATGCAGTCAGCCTGCAAATGAAGAAATAGTCACTCAAGAAAGAGATTTCTCCTGTGTAAGCAGTCTTCTCAAAGTCAAGTCTAATCTTTACAGCACACACTTATTCTCAGTGTCAGATTGACTGTCTTTCTTTCTTCTTTTTTTTTTTTTTACTGCATTTGAGTTCTTTGATAATTATTTATGTGTTCACTCATTTACTTATATGTATTCAATTTTTGGACTCTTCATTTTCCCTGAGATTCTTATTAGTGTGACACTAAGTTATTGAAAAGCAGACAGGACCATTGGAAGAACATTTATAAGACTTAAAATCTATTTTGTGACCATTGCATAATTTTCTTAAGTTCAACAACTGGAAAAGGTGGATGAGTGTTCACACTCATTCTGTCTAGACATAAAAAGCCATAAGATTGTGGACTGTACAATGGAGCCATAAGCAGAAAAAACATGCAACACCCTCTGATTAGTTCAATGGCAGACATTCTGTCAAAGCCTCAAGAGGAGCCGTAAGCATGTGGGGGAAATGATGCCCAAAAACCTGGGGTAAAAAGCTTTCACTGGAGTGTTCATCCTTTGTAGAAAACCACTGGGAAATATAGTACATGCAGCAGAAGCTCACTCAAGCATTAGGTTAAACTCAGCTTCTTGAAGCCACATTGAGGTCCCAGTTGCTTTGCTTCCCATTAGTCCAAGCCCTCTCTCAGCCCCTGATGCTGGCCATTTTTTTTCTCTTGCTTCTTCAAAGCCAGAGACAGGGAATCATCCATAGGTCCAAGCTCTCACCACTGATCTCTCCCAGTAAAGCCCAGTCCCATGTAAGGCATCACCAGGGTAGGTTGGACTCCCAAGGGCAATGTCCTCCTCTTCGACTCAACAGATTTACATATTAATTATATCATTAAATTCTCACAATGGCACCTAGTTTACCTTTGATTAGATAACTGGAGAACGAATACACACACAAGTTCATAGGGATCTTGAAAATGGACAGAAATCATAGCCTTCAAAGAAAGCACGTGAAAGTAACAATGGTGGTACATGCCTGTAATCACAGAACTCACAGGGTTGAGATAGAGGGACCACCCCAACTTCAAGGTCAGCCTGAACTCCACAGTGAGACTTTATCTCAAAAAACAAAACAAAAAAAGCATGTGAGAATTAAATCATATTCTTTTAATTTTTCTAGGGAGAAGTAGTGAGGAACTCTTCTGTGTAAAGAGAATTTTATGATAGCTATTGAATAAAAAGAAAACTAAAGAGTATTTTACTCAGGTAATAATTGCAGGAGTACAAAGGAAACTCTTGGAAATTAAATTGGGAAAAAACTAAAAGTAATCCTCTTTTACAAGCTTATTGGCCCTCATCATTCTGTTAAGGGAAGAGGAAATACAGATGACTCCTATTCTGATCAATACAACATTTATCTCCATGAAATTCCATTTATCATGTCCATTACACCTTCATGAAGTTTTATTACTCTGATTTGAGAAGTATGTACTCATAGAATTTTTTCTAAGATGTGAGAAAATTGCTGATAATTAAATTTTGGTGGCTTTACTTTCTGCAGCCTTGCAAATTAAAAGACATATTTGAATAATATATAGAGCAGTATGAATTGTTAGCAATCTGCATTTCAGTGTTCAGATGCTTGGTGATTTTCATATACATGAGTTCAAAATGGGTTAAGCAAAGACACTGTGGTATCCCCACTCCCATGGGGATTCCCCTTTTCCTAGAAAGCCGCCCTCCAGGGGTGGCCCCTCTGGCTGATCCTCCTTCATCCACTTATCTTGTATCATTTTATCTACTACTTCGAAAGTTCCCTCTTTTAGAACTGTTTTTTAGTTTTCTTAAAGATATATTAGCATTATACAAGTGTAGATGCATGTGACTGTTAGGAGAATGCTCATTTGTGGATCAATTACACTTGAATAAGTCTTCATAGAAGAAGGAAGATGGAAAGCTGGTGGATCAATAAACAGCAAACTAACGAGCCTCTTTGAAACAGCTCAGATGCTGGAAAATACCAGCCTGGAGAAGACCAGATGGAAGGACAGGGTCTTCTCCACCCAGGAAGAAACTAAAGGAAAAAAAAAAAAAGAAGAAAAGCATGGACAGAAGGCTATAGCCAGACACACTCTCACCAGAGCTGGTGCCACTGTGTATGAAATGCTGCTGGAATCCGAAGAAGTGGGTTTGTGGTGAAGTTGGGGGTTGGCGAGCCCAAAAGCCTAAGTGGGAGGATGTGGACATGGAGGGGAGAGAGGGGAGAACAGCACCAGCTCAGAGTGTGGGGAACTTAGTCCTCCTGCAGGAGTGGGTGATTGGCTGGGCAACATTTTAGAGTTGGGCAGTATAAGCCTGGAACCAGAACTGTAGCAGCTTCAATCAGCCACTCCTAGTGCAGAGCAGATTGGTGAGAACTGCTTGAGTCTCACCCTTGTATGTGATCCGATATCCAAGGATGGGGTTTCCCTGAAGTTGTCCCTAACTGGCTCCATTTATGTAGCACACACTAATGTGGTGAAGACTCTCAGAGGTTAAGCAGCTCAGAAGGGGGGGGGTCAGCCTGCCTCCTCCCCTGCTTGTACTTCAGTGGTCAGCAGCAGACTGGGAAGGAAAGTAGTCCTGAGGCAGCATGCTCCAGAGTAATCATAACCGATAGAGGCAGTGCTGGGGACCCCTAATATCCAGAAACCACAAACAGGACAAGAGAGAGGAACAAAAGGCAGTCTCCAGCCTCCAAGCCAAATAGTACTGGTCCAAGAGAGGTAAACACAGAAGAGATTGGGGGTTGCACACCTGCAGTTTCTGAAAATG